TACAATACCCTTTGAATTGACATTTTAGAAAAATCAATATAATTTTTCTTTTGCTGATTTTGAGTATGAGTTATTACGGCTGATCCTGATTTGATGAGGATAGCTTCATAATAAAATCTGGAATTTTTTGATATTTTTTTGGCATATATTGAAAATTTGCTAGGAAAATATTTTGAAGACATTCGTCAAGAGATGAATACCTATGAATCCAAGATGTTTCCATCACGAAATCAGAAATATGAATAGGTTTTGTAAAATATTGAAATGAAGGAGAAGGATTGATATTTGGTAATTTTTCAAACCCAATTTGGAGGGCTTTTTGAAGTTTGAAGGGTTTTCATTGAATATATTTTTTTGAGTTAGAGGAAAATGAGTTTTTGAGGCTAGAATAATTTTTTGAGAAGTAAAAGAGTTATGCTCAGCATATTTTGAATCTTTTAATGAATTTTGGACATAATCATCAATTGAACAAATGTGAATTGAAATCTTTTTCTTATCCTTCTTCTTTGAAGAAGTGGATTCCATATTTTCTTCTTTGAATATTTCGCTCAATTTGAATATCTCTCTAATTTTTCTATCTGTTTCCTCACTTTTGTAAAAACTCACTTGTGAGGAAGTTTGCAAGAAAGTTGGAAGTTCTTTGTATATATAAAATTTCAAAATCAAAACATGAAAGTATTGCTTGCCATCTGACAAAGATTTGTTTGGAAACAAAATTTTTGATATCTTTTTATAAAACATCTTTTGATACTTTACAGTCTGTTTTTAAAATAAACCTTTTTTCCATTAGATCATCTTGAAATTTTGAAATGCATAAAACAAGATAAAATGTCTTTTTTATAGTAGAATAGTTCTTTTGAGGGCCAATCCAAACACTAGAATGAAATTGGACTAACTGTTCTTGACTAGACTCTTTTGAAAACTGTTTGAGAACACCACCAAAATCAATGCTTGACACATCAGTTTCAACAATAATTGATGCAGTGGGGTCTAAAATTGATAAATAAGGAATACTTTTGATAGCTTTTTAACATTTTGAATGGCCATTGTAGGCTCATGACTTCGTGGGACCGAATTCTTTTGTAATCTTTTGAAAATAGGTGCACATAGGATTCTTATCTTTTTGAGAAAGTCGCCTACGTAATTAACACAACTTAAAAATCTTTGAAAACTATTTTTGTCTAGAATTTCATCGGGAAATTTATCTGTGAAATCTAAACTTTTTCGAATTGGAGTAATGGTTCCCAAATGAATGTTATGTCCTAAGAACACAATACTTGTTAGACATAAAACAACATTTTTAGTGCCAAACCATTATTTTTTTTTTCTAGTATTGAGATACTAGAAATATTGTTCTAGACTTTCAGAAAATATTAGAATATGATCAATGTAAACAATAATAAAATTTGAATTAGGATTGAAAATATCATTCATATTTTTTTGAAATTCAAAAGGAGCATTTTTTTAGTCCAAATGACACAACATTCTATTCGTATTGTCCGAAATGAACATTAAAAACAGTTTTGTAGCGATCTTCTTATTTAGGGCATGTTCGGTACAGCTTAAAATCCAATTAAAATTGAAAATATGGTCGTTATTGGGTCCCACCCGTCTAATAAAAGTCAACAATAATGGCTAATTTTTCAATTTTAATCCAATTTTAATCTTTACCGAACACGCCCTTAATTTGAATTTGCCAAAATCTTGACTTCATATCAAATTTAGAAAAAAATCGCAGCTTTAAATGACCTATTTAATAGGTCGTTCTTTTGAAGTAATGGATATCTAATCCATTGAAAAGCTTTATTGAGATGTTTGTAATTGATAACTAAATGAGGAACTCCTCTTTCAATTTCAACAGAATTGTTGACATAAAATGTCAAACAACTCCATAGCTCCATCTTGAAGGAAAGGCTTTTAACGATCATCAACATCAAAATTCTTAGTTTGAATTTGAAAAATAAGAGCATTAAGAATAGCTACATCTTGAAGGCTAATTGAAAAATTAGGGTAGCAATTTGAAAATATAGAACCATTCTCGAGATTAGACTCGAGCATGAAAAGTAATGAATGTTCAAACCTTAAGAGTCTTTGTCTCTTAAAGTTAGAAGAACGGGAATGTCTAGACCAAGTCTAAGCAAATGTTTGACTGCACTTTGAACAAGTCCAACATGAAAATATTTAAATTTCTTCATGTGAGCTTATATAACTTCTTTTGAAAACAAATTAATAGAAACAATTTGATTTTTGATTGGAATAGTTTTGCTCCAACATTTTGATAACATAATTTTGAGTGAATCAAATTTTCCTATTTCATTGATAGAACTTTTATCTACCTTTGGGATAGTCCAATTTTGAAGTTTTTGCTCTATTTGAGCGATTTGAAATTCATTTGAAGTAAACTCATTTGATGCAGATGCAAAAGTAGATGCAATTGCATGATTTTGACTTAATTCTTCCTCATTATTTTGAAAATAATTTGAAATGTTATCACCACTACTATTTGAACCACTTTATTTACTAAACCAATTTGACATAAAAGACATAATTGAATAGTAATAAGAGAACAGTAATCTTACTATTGAAAACAGAATGCTACAGGTAAATTGATGCCGTGCAAAGCCTATAATGGGACCACCTAAACGCCAACTTCGACAACACGGTTGACCAACGCTTCAGTAGACATCCATGCCTTATAACAACCTAATCTTTGACACTGTGCAGACAATAGTTTGACACTTATTCTCTTACACTACTCTCTTATGGCTCTGATACCACAATGGAGCCCAGGTCATGGAAGAGGGATAAGAGAAGTAGAGGTTGATGGAAACAAAGAATTTATTAATATAAAACTTATGGGGCCCAGGTCACGGGAGAGGGACAAGAGAAGTAAAGGTTGATGGAAATAATGAATTTATTGATATAAAACTTTAAAATTACAATATGAAAATTGATATTTGAAAAATACAAGATTGAAACTCGAAATTGAAAATTATAATTGAAAAGATTTTAAAGAAAATTTAAAAATTACAAGGATAATTTAAGAACTTTCTTGAAGTGTGCCAGAATAAGGGCCCATGTCGCCCAGGTAAGGAGAGAGGGACAAGAAAAGTAGAGGTTGATGGAAACAATGAATTTATTGATGTAAAATTTTTTGAAATTATAATATGAAAGTTGAAAATTAAAAATTATAAGATTGAAACTCGAAGTTGAAAATTACAATCGAAATGATTTTTAAGAAAGCTTAAAAATTACAAGGATAATTTAAAAGCTTTCTTGACGTGTAGTTTTTGAACTTTTGTCTTGTTTAGAAAGTAAAAACACAATTTCAATATTTAAAGACATTCTATGGAATCATTTGTAAAGTAAGGCTACTAGTAATTAATGCTGCCCCAATGACTACACATTCACACATCATATAGAAAAGGCATTTGGAAGATAAAATTGTTATCAGCCAGAATCTGCAGCAGTGATCCCTTCTTTTTGTTTTTCATCCTGATGCCATTAATTTTGGTGGATGTACAGTTAATTTCACGGTTATAAATTTTATTCTTGACTATGAAAGAGGTATTCAATATTGAGCTGTAATTATTACCTCACCTCTGTATCTGACTATTAAGGCAGAGGTGTTGTGGGCTTTGAATCATTGGCTAACTTTGTGAATAGGATTGTGTGAAGATGTTGGAGGTCTTGATGGTCAATTTTACAGGGTCAAGATCGGGGCAAACTCAGAAGTTCACTGGATGAATTTAGAGATGTTTCTTGAATGCTGACTGGCCATAATGGGCAGTTGGACCGTTTGTGCTAGTCATGTCCATGGGATTGGTTTGTGGACTGCAGAGGCCGCTAACCAATGGTAGACTCCATGTTTCTTGATTGAGACAACATTTTTATGTGCTATAACAGAGACTTTATTCATCCTTAAGATGGATTGAACAAAATGTCTTAACAAAGGCAGTTGGTAGGAAATTATGTTTTATGAAACCGGGTGGTTGTCCGTTTGATTGGAGAAGACGTCGTGACTGAAAATTTGACATTAGCCAGTGAAAAGATTAAGCTTTTGACCGAAGTGCAATTTATTTTTATTAAAGTTTAGATAGTGCAAATGCTATGGCATTAGAGTTTAAGACAGTGTAAAAGATGTGAACAGAGATGCGTATCCTGTAAAGCAGTAAAGCTATTCCTTGCTGGTGTAGGCTAACTCTCTATATAACATCCGCCAAACCCCAAATTCGTCCATATCTTGCAGTTTATTTCACTTTAGTTCACTATCCTAGACGGCTGCCCCTGATTTCGAAATATAGGTCCATCACCGATATCCTCCGGTGGCATGTGGCAGATTTGACTGTATTCTTGCTTTATCTCTATGGAGATCCATAGGACGTAAGCCCTAGACTTGCTATTTACCTTGCTTGGCGTTTACATTTTCCTCAATGCAGTTAGTTTCATAATTTCTTTGCTGATCCAGTCATTTGTTGACCATTTTCTTTGTCATTATTTTTTTTTCAGCTTTCAACAAATTCATACCAATTACTTGAGCATTTTATGTAGTTGCCTTTTTCCCAATTTCATTGTAATTGCATGGGCATTAGGATGCGGATTGCATAAATGGGTGGGGACTTAATTTTAGCAGTCCTTTATTTCAAGGTCCATGCAAGATTTGAAAGAAGTAAACTCCACAGGTCTTCCAATTCATGAAAAGGTTGGTACCTTAATCATTGGGAATTTGGAACGAAAATGTGTGCAGACTTACGCAGGACTAAATTTCTGTGTGCTGGGGTATAAAAGGTCTTAAATTATGAAAAAAGTATCCCGGTTAGAGGCTTAAGGAAATGCAGTCTTGTTTTTATTACAATTCTAAACAAGCAAGAATAAACAGGTTGTGGATAGACATTTCTGTTTTAAAGAATTAACTGCTTGTACATGAACATTTCTTTTTCAAATGTTCCACAATAGGTACTTAGCGACCCAGATACTTGGAATATATTTCAGAGGGAGTCATGCCTAAGGTGAAGACTAACCGAGTAAAATACCCCGAGGGTTGGGAGTTGATTGAACCTACTCTACGTGAACTACAAGCACAGATGAGAGAAGGTCCTTATTTTTTTTATATATCATACCAAAGTACCTCGAATATATTTCTGTTTTGTTCAAATTTCATATTTAGTGTCTCTCTTTTTTTTTTCTGGCAATTTTTTGACAGCTGAGAATGATCCACATGATGGTAAAAGAAAATGTGAGGCCATGTGGCCTATTTTTAAAATAGCCCATCAGAAAAGTCGCTACATTTTTGACCTTTATCACAGGAGGAAGGAAATTTCCAAGGAATTGTATGAGTTCTGCTTGGATCAGGGTTATGCAGATCGTAACTTAATTGCGAAGTGGAAAAAGGTTTGTTAACAATGTCCAAATATTTATCATGGTACTGGAAATATGAATTCTGTCATGTTTCATCTTTGTTTTCTGAGTTCCCTGGGCAATCTGTATGTTCTCTTTGTGGTAAATCAAATTATAACTTTTCTCGTTCTTGTTTGCAAATTCTAATAAGATCTTTTTACAAAATGTTACATTTTCAAAAGAAAACAATGGTTTAAAGAGGAATATTTGCAGATTGATACAATTCAGCTTGTTCAATTTCTAAATTTTTGGAAATCAAAAGCGCAATTTGCTTTTGGTTATTGTGAAATTTGGAAGTATGCAGTGCAGTTTTCTCTTGAGGTGCTCGTATATGCTTACATTCCAACCTTTATACAATGAATTCACACACTATTATTGTCTTAACTGCAGCCTGGCTATGAAAGGCTCTGCTGCTTAAGGTGCATGCAACCTCGGGATCATAACTTTCAAACTACCTGTGTGTGCCGAGTGCCAAAGCATTTGCGGGAGGAGAAAGTTATAGAATGCATGCACTGCGGTTGTGGGGGCTGTGCGAGTGGAGATTGAGGATTTAACATCGACTGCCCAAGTCAAACTACACGTATCAGTTGGGATAAATGTAAATCGATGTAAAAGAGTCTTAGATATATCCTCGTTAGGGTAGAAATCTTGCCTCTAGTCTGTAGTATGATATTTGTGTCACTTTCTTGTGAGGGCTAATGGGGTGATAACTTTCTTTTACCTGATTTAGAATTATCAGCTTTAATTTCGAAACGACTATGAAATATCTTAGAACTTTGGTTCCATTAATGCTTTTGAAATTTCCTTAATTTATGTCTAGCAAAATTTAGGATTGCCATCTTCATTCCTTGTTTGTCGCAGTTGAAGTGGCCATTTCAAATTTTACAAAATAAAATATCAAAGTGTTTATGTAGATAAATAAGTCCTTCAGAAAACAAGTTAAGCTCATATTTCAATCACATTAAAATTTTTATTCTTATTCTTATATTCATTTCAACCACACATTTTGTAATAAAATAATATTTTTCATCACATCAATAACTTTTTCTTTATTTTCAACCACACATTTTCCTTCAATCTACTATTTCAAAATAATGTGGCTCAAATATACACTAAGTCCCCGTTTGTTTAGCATTAATTCTTCAGATGCAGAAAAATTCTAACAGTTGCAATTCAAATGCAGCCACCATTTTTTATCATTTGTCTCATAGCTGGGACCCACATTTGAAACTAAGGACTAAGGAGATGTCGGGCGCACTTAAAATGGAAAAAATTACCGTTGATAATGAGAAACATGGATCGTTGCTTTTCACCAACTATGCAGGAACTTTGACATGGCAGACCTACTTTTGAATATTTTATGGCAAAATGACATTTTTGCCATTAACATTTAAATCGTTTTGCATGATACACGGGCATTTTCGACATTTCATTTTTAGGAAGTCAAATTTTGCTGGCTAGGACGGACCCATCTTGCAGTGGGCAACGGTCCATTAATTGATTGGCATTGGACAAAAATCGCGCCCAGACACAACCTAGCGGTGCTTTTCTTTATGCTTTCCAGCCCTTTAATGCTAAACAAACAAGGTGTAAATGTTTCATAAGCCACTGAATTTTGCACTAAACAAACAGGGTGTAAATGTTTCATAAGCCAATAAGCCGCTGAATTTTGCATTTTGTCGTGATTTACTCACTCAACTTTACAAAGCTTCCCAAAGATCACTGAAATTAAGTCCATTGCACTCCATCAGTCACCAGATCGATTCCATCTCGAAAAATGACTCGGTTTTGTCTAGTGTAAGAAAGAAAAATGACTTGATCGTTAATTGCGTGTAAATGGTAAACTAAATGCACACGTGAACTCCACGTCTAAATGGTAGACTAAACTTTGTTTTCATCGTGAAACTGTCATTCCAAGAACCATCTCGAAAGCAATTTTTTATGATATTTAGAATTGTGCTTGTTACGGGCCTGTGTCAGACCCGCCACCTCACCCGCCACGTGTCAACACCCGTGGCCCGAGCCACGTGCCGGACGAGGTGCTTGACCCAAAAACTAAACTGATTGTACATGCCGAGGTGATTGCACTAAGGACTAACTGAAAACGCGTCAGCGAACGAACCGGACTCATCCACAAGTACACAGTGGATGCAAAGGCCCGCACTCCGCTTTCTAATAATATTATGTACCAAAGAAATAGGATACGCATGCTTCAGATATGAAAAAACAAGTTATTGCCAAGTCATTTCTATGCCATCGCTGATTTGATCAAGTTGCTTCACGTGGTACTCAAATTCATATTTCGAGTTCGCCCTTGCTGTGGCATTGAATGTTTTCGTTATGTTCTTTCCTGCATAACCATATGATAACATGAGGTTCTAAAAAATATGGTGAGCACAAAATCCGTATATTACTTCTGGGTACACCGCATTAATAGCAAACTCAATGCTTGGATGACTATCATATATGAAACACATTTCATTATGATATCCATACACATCCTTGAACCTACTCATGAACCAACACCAAGAATCATTGTTCTCTGAATCCCTAATACCAAAAGCAAGGACAAATATTCCATAGTTTGCGTCTTGCGAGCAAGCGATGAATAAACTACCACGGTAACGTCCTGTTAAGAAGGTTGCATCACAACCACGATAGGCTTATGAAAGGAAAATGTGGCACAATAATGCTATGACCCAATGGGCCATTTGAGTTAGCCCAGCTAGAACTTAATGAAGGCCTAGCCCAAAATTTGTTTTCTCTTAACTTGGTGCAAAAAGCGTGATTTTGAGAAAGCTTGAAACCGTGACTTCACTTACCTATCTTTGGACGCTAAGGATGTCACCACGTGTCACCTCCAACGTCGTTGGATTGGTGACTATAAAGTGACTCCTTTAAATGGGCTCCTAGAGTTCGAGATCTACACAACTTGGCTTCGAGACTCTTCTATTGCTCTCTGTGCCGTTTCTTCGAGTTTTACAGTTTATTGTTCTTCATTGTTCAGTTATTTCTTGAGTTCAGATTTCGGTTTACTTGAAGTCATATTTTCAAATCTTTATTTCTGATTTCTTGCACATATATATTTGTTGTTTTGTGAGCTAATTGATTGAACTCCTCCCAACAGTAGTATCAGAGCATTTTGGAAGGAGCTCTTGACTGAGTAGTGCTCGATTCTTGATACTGATACTGCAAACTTAAGTTGGTCTACGTTTTCTTGAAACCCTAATTAAAGGGGCTTGGTGTGATCTTTACAGTTTTTCATTATCACGTTTTCTGTCTAGCTGTATATAGTGTTGGGTGTTCTGAATTCTAATTTGGTGTCTGACCTTGTGTGGTTATACTACCTGTTTGATTATACTGCCTTGGTTGATTTTTTGTTGATCGAGATTACTGCTTTCTTGGGTATTCTGCCTTGTGTAGTGTATTCGATTCTGTTTTTTGAAAACCTGAATCAAAGACTCCTCGTAATTCCTTTGTCCAGAAACCTTGGGTTGTTTGGAATTTGAGGGGTTACTTGGACAAAAGTTGATATTCTTGTTTTCTGAAAATCACTCTGCAGTATTTCTAAGCTTGATTGAATTCTGTGATATAATTCTGAAGTGCCTGCTCTCTGTACTTGCAATCTGTGTACTCTGTTGTGTCTCTTGTGTGGTAATACTTCTCTGATCTGTATTGCAAGTTTCTGATCTAGTGTTTGACTGGTCTGCATACATCCATTTCATTCATA